AAAAAAAAGCTTCTTTAACTTAAATGAATTAGGTTTGAAGTAAACATGAATTAGTCAATCATGTTCATGAATTACAGATGCAGCAGGCAAGGTAGACTCATGTGATGGGTGAGACTTTTATGATACTTAGTTTTTCTTTATCCTCATGTCTGTGTGGCACAGAGTCAGAGAAAATGACCTGCTTTGCTTTTGTTGAAGGTGTCCGGGACTGGGTGAATGATCCTCAGCTTTGTTTTAAGTAGTTCCTTTAGTTGTATTTTGTATTTGAAATAAAAAAGAAAACAAAATCCTTATTATGTAGTACCGTTCCCTACATTTTTCCTCTTCTGGAAAAAATATGAAGGAAATGATTATTTTTTCTTTCTTTTGCAAACTTATCTTTCTTTTTTTCATCGTTTTATAAAAAGAAATTTTATAACCCTGCCCCCTCCAAAAAAATACAGCTTCGTATTGTCTCTTCATTGTTAATGGTTAATCCAATGAGTTAATTTTTGCACATCATTTGAAATATGAGTCAAAATTTAGAATTTGTCATATGAATAGTTAGCAAGACTTTTACTACCATTGAAAACACCAAATTTCTCCATAGAATCACCTTAGCACTTCTAGTAAAATATGGTTTAAATAGAGATATGAGTTTATTTGCGCACTATCAATTCTATTCCATTGTTTCTGAGTGTTTCCTGTGGATGTACCATGTTAGTCTGATAACTGAGTCTTGGTTTTAACTTTGAAATTAGAAACTATTAGTTTTTCAAATCTTCTTTTCCAGTATCACTTAGGCTACACTGTAGTCCCTTGCTATTTCCTATACAAATGTCTCAGAAACGCTTTAGTACATTCATTATTATTCATCCTTATTCTAACTTTCCTTCTGGTTTACTTGTTAAGTATTGGAAATATAGGCAGGTTTAATTTTTATGTACTTGTACATTTTCCAGTTTTCATTGATATTAACATATTCCCTCATAGCCATAGAATGTATTTTATAAAATTTCAATTTTATGATATATTTATACTTGATTTTAACCTGCTTATATGACTCTTCTAGATAATATTCCGTGGTCACTTGAGAAGAATATACATTTGACTTTTAATGGGGTGAATCTTCTAGAAGTGTAATTAGGTTGACTTAGTTCTCTGTGCTCATTGAGCTGTGTAGTGGTATCTAATGCTGAAACTGGGGTATGAATCCTTCCAACTATTACTGTATTTATTGTGCATTCATTTCTGGCTTTTTCTGCAATATTTTGATTCATGCATTTTGAGGTTTTTAATGTTAGTTTCAGTAATTTTTATATTTTCTGAATATTCTTGATGAATTGATTATTTTAGAATTTGAATTCTAAATCTCATAGCTCTATAACATTCACTGAGTAACTCTTAAGTGGTCATCAGCTGATTTCTTGGTGATAAATTCTCTACTTTTTTGTCATTCTAAGAGTAAAAGCACTGGTAAATCATTTTCCCCATGAATAAGTAAAGTCACTTTGATTTTATTCCAAAGTTTCCATGTGCATTTCATAGAATTGCTTCTTACTGAGAGATAACAACCCCTAGGTAAGTTTATCTCTCTTAATTTCACTTTCTTCACCAGGAACGTGGGAGGATTTGCTTAGAATTTACAGGCACCCTCAAAGTTTTTCTTATCCTAGGCCATAGATTTTATAACTCTGAGATTCACTTTCTGTATGTTTCAAGAATTGAATCTTTCAGAGTCACTGTGTCTTCTTTCAGTAACGATGCTCTTTCTGGGTGTTTTTAGAGATGCAAATTGTTACTCTCCATTCTATTTTTAAGTATTAATTTTATTGAGAAAAAGATAGCATTGAGATAATTTCAAAACAGGTTAGCAGGACAGGTACAGTAATTGATACATCGTATATTGTTGTAGTCATTCATTCATTCTTCCTAGTAGTTATTCATAGTACAGGATGCAGACCTGATCTCTTGTCTAATCACTATTAATACAAATCTTTCTTCTCATTGAACTAAGAGAAAGTAAATGTATATCTGTCGTATTATATATCTATATCTATACCTAGATCTAGATCTAGATCTAGATCTAGGTATAGATATAGATATATATTATTTTTTTCACTACAAAATGGTCCTTCATTTATATCCCCCTTTTCGTTTACTTTTGTCAGAGATGGGTATTCCATTGCCGTTCATATACTGTAGGTGCATGAATGCAGCAAAGTAATCCAATGTAGTCCAGTCGAACATCATCGTAGTGGCTTATCTGCAGGACTGGCAATGTCACAAGTTTTTTACTTCAGCCTTTTACAGCTCAGCATATTCATATGGCTTTACTTTTTATACCTCATGTTTATTTCTAAATCTGCCAACTCTCAAGTGTGGAGGTAGGAGATATTCTTAAGTTTGGGTTTAATCAGTCCTCCATGGGATTCTAACATAGCTTAAAAGTCATTTCTAGCTACATAGTGCCACAAGCCTGTAATCTCAGCTCTCTGGAGGCTGAGGCAAGAGGATCCCTGCAAATCAAGCCCAGCCTGTGCTGCACAGTGAGTTCAAGGACAGCCTGGAATGTGTAGTGACCCTGTTTCAAATGAACAAGCAAACAAACACCATTAAAATAATTGTACTAGAAATTATGTGATCTCTACAGTAAGAAATAATTCCTTCTCTTTCTTCTAGATACTAGGACAAGATTTCTGTTTTTCCTGCTGTATGTGAAATCATAGCATACAAACTGGGTAAGATATCTGTTTAAGTTTTATAAGTAGAGTTAAAATATTAGAATTAGAATTTTGAAGAAATTAATATATAATCATTAAAATTTTTTCAGGATATTACCCATGCTCACTAATGAATCTATAATTTACTGAATGTGTTTATATAATAAAATTGAAAATTATATCAATTGAAATAAATTAATTAACTTCCCTGGTTTTCTTTTTGTTTGTTAAAAAATAAGCTAAGTCATTGAAAACATCTTGTTATAAAACCCTACAATTCAGACACATGTCAATCAGTAATTTAATTCTAGAGGCTTGGGAATATTTATTCCTACATCTTATATACAATAAAGGGCTAGGTTACTGTAATATCTTACCCTATTAAAATAGTCCTTAAAACATTTTGTCCTTATAAAAATCTATCTGCAGTAACTCAAATAGGTTTTACTTTCATGAAAAAAATGTAACAATATTATTTTGTGACCATTTTCATTGAACATGGAACTGCTCAGCCAAGCATACAAATGCACTTGCTTTTGATTTGCTTCTGTAGTTAAAACTATTTCCCAGAGGAGTCTATAAATAAGAGGGATTTCTGGCTCCTTGTTTCAAAACAACTAACTTGAAAAAGAAGATCTGTTGACATTTTTTTTTCTCTAAGAAACACTGTACCATGAAGTTTCATCTCTTTTTCTTTATTCTGCTCTTTGGGGTCACAGTTTTACCAGGTAATATGTGAACATTTGTGGAGGTGTATGTACGAATTTGAAGAGGTATCAGTTGTTTCTTATTGACAGTATGGTAACATTGATTAAAAAGTTATTACATTAAATTTAATGTAGCATTTTGAAGTAAACTCTCAGACAAATATAGGTAAAGCTAATGAAATATCAATAAAATGTAGTTTAGGTAATAGTATTGCAATGATTTCTTAGTGCTGATAAACATTACTATACTGATGTGATGAACAACGGGGGGAAGATGACTTCTGGGATTTTTTTTCAACTTTCTGAAAGTCTAGACTGATTTCAAAACAAAAGACTTAGAAGGTAAGCTAATCACATTAATGTTCTCAATCTCATCCATTAATTAACATTAATTACGCTGAATGTGTGCTGTCTTGGGAAAAATGTTTAGCATAATCCACCATTAAGTGACAAGTGGCTTAATAGTATAACTCTATTTACTTTTTCTACTTTTAACCTACACAGCACTAATTTCTATTAGAACCAATCCCTTCTTGGTATTCTTTCTCAAGGCAATTTTATCCCCTACAGGTCTTTCTGTACATATTCTTTTCAGTATCCGACGGTGTTGGTGAAAATTTCCCGAAAGCTCTGTCTCTCCACAGGATATTCAGTGCTAAGTTTCTCTTTTCCCAAATGTTTATGAAAGCAGCAATTATAGAGAAAGAAAATGCAGTAAGTATAGCAGATAGAGAGATTGCTGATGCTATTCACTTCCTGGTTAAAGAGAGTGAGGGGAAAGACTAGCCATCTTGTAGGACACAATAAAATCAACCTTATATTCACTGACCTTTTGAAAATACTTTTTATTACTAAGCATAACACAGACCCTAGAAGGTAGAAGAAATTAATAGAGATAAATTAATTTGTTATCTCATTGTATCACCAAGTACATCATTAAAAACCTAAAATTTTATGAATATTAAACTGAAAACTTATCATTTAAAATTGCAACTGCAAAAAATTCTAAGCCAAGCATGGTGATGCGTACTTATAATCCCAGAATCTGGGGGTCTAAGACAGGAGGGCTAGGATAGTTATGTGTTCAAGGTTGGTCGAGGCTACACAGTGAATTCAATACCACCCTGAACTACAGAGAAAAAAATCATGTATAAAAAATTGTTTATGGAAGAATAACTAAATATTTTTCAGCATTATAGAGAAAGCTAAATTTCATACAGATTTACATAGTTTTCAGTATATAACAAGTCATTTTCTATTTCCAATAGTAGCAAACATCAAAAAATAAATCACATTACTCATCATTTCTTTCCTCAATACAGCCATATCAGATATTCCCATTAATAACTAAGGTTATTCTTACATTTATTCAACAAATTTAAATGCCCTATAGACTTACAAAGTATAAGTCAATTAAGGGACATAGTGATGTAGACTACAATATTGTTGATTTATTTTCTATATTCTCTTCTATTTTCAGTTTGAAGACATTGTCTTTTATTCCTTCACACATAGACCAAATCTTTAGAGAACTCCTACTATAATTGACAAAAAATCCTAAAGTAGCAGTAGCAAGAACCACAAAAGCAAGTATGCTCAGACATGTATTTATATATTTTTCTCCCCAAAATTAGAGGAGTGTGGTATAAAATTCAGAGATTAAATAAATAGCAAATCATTGAGGCTAATGTTTTTCCTCTTTGGCTCATCAACATACAGCCTTTGAAGTAAACAATAAAAACAAATATCACTTTCTGTCTTAATAAAATTTCTCTTTGGTTTAATAGACCATTCACTCTTCCCTGTAGTGAAAGATCCTACTCAAAATTGCAATACAGAGCTAATACTATTGCAAGACAGTTACAGATGAAAAGTTAGCTAGACAAAAATCCTTAAATTTTCTGTGCAAGGATATTTTGCTTTCCATACTACAGTTTTCATCTTCATTTTCTAGAGTTTATAAGTGCACAGTAAGTTAGAAATGCAATATGTTCCCATTGCTTTTACTTTATCTGCCAAATTAAAAAAAATGTTGGTATCACAAAATATTTCCTTAAGTCTAACATGTTTCTGAGCACAAAATAATAGTTCTTTGTACAGAGAGGAAAGTCACGGTTTTCCTCTCTTGTTGCCAGGGGCAGTAACGTTGTTCTATAGAATAAAGACAGAGATGAATGGAAATAAGAGATTTAGGTTGACAATTCATCTTACCCAATTATAGCCTGTATAGTAAGTTAGCATATATGTATATAATATTTAAAGAAATTCCCTGGTAGGTTAGAATGATGTAATAATCTAACATGAATGAATCACCTGAAAGGAGTTCAGAAAAAAAGAGGGGGAGACATCCTTCTGAACGTCATTAGCAGAACCTTCTGAGAAAAGTATCTCAATATTTTGTCTATGGGAAGAGCTGATGTTGATTTTTCTGTCTTTTCACAATATTATTATAAGAATGGCTTTCAGTGTCCAATGACTTCACCCAGGAGACATCAGTCAATGTGTGGAGAGCCTTTAGCTGTCACAACTAGTATGAAGGGCATGTCCTGGGCAGAGCCCAGAGGTGCTGTCTGCCTCTGATAGGGCACAGGGCACCCACCAGAACAGATTGTCAAGCACAAGGTCAGTAGTGCTTGAATTGAGAAAACCTATCCTACAGCATGGCACAAAGCTCTAGAAGAGTAAATTTAGTAGAATTGGTAGTCCCACTTTTCTAGACATGGAGAAGGCAAACGTCTTCTATATAACAGCTTTCCAGCACTGTCTGAATTCCCTCATAAGTCCAGCTGCAAGTTCCTGTTTTCTTTCATGTTTGACTAGAAAAAGAATCACAGAAGAGGGGTCAGTAAGCTTTTATTCAAGAAACAAGGTAACTAAGAAATCGTTTCATTTTCTGCGCTCTAGCACCACAGCGTGCCAAAGCGGACAGAGATGGTGTGTAAGTACGTATACACCCTCAGGTGCTGAGGAGCAGAAGGCTGGGCTTGGGGCCCACCTACACTCTGTGGTTCACTCACTAACAGGATCAACCCATGAACAGCAAAAGGAGGCAATTCTTTTTGAATCACTATGACTTCAGAAACTGTTGTAAAAGAAGAAAAGGACAGTGTCCACTTCTGTACCTTCCAGGCACCCCCAACACTTCCTCGGTTGTCAGTGCTGTTGTGCAGTATGTGTCTAAGTTAGATTACATTTTTAGGGAAATAAATCTCAGAGTATCCAGGAGAGTTGTGAGAATTCTAATCAGGTGCCTAATACTGCCCGACTCTC